TTGTCCTCAGTATTTAAGAATCTCTACGGTTTACCTCCTTCTCTCTCTGTAACTTTTTTTTCCTCCTTCCTCTCCCCGCTGGTCTTCTGTTGAGTTTCTCAGGATCTACATATGAGTGAAAGCATATGGTATCTGTCTTTCTCTGCCTGACTTATTTGTATTTATATTGAGACATTTACTGTATTTCTGACAATATGCAACCCCATCAAAATTTTATCAGTAGGAAAGTAAATTAGCAGTGGGACTATTAAACAAATCATGTTGAATACCATTTCAGAAGGCTTTCTTGACTGTTTTGAACCTAATGTCATGTTAAAAAAATTAACCATTATTCTTACCTGGCTATACCTGAATATGAAGAGGGCACTTATTCTTTAATTAAATTAAACATTTTTACTTTTAAATTTAAATTTAAAATTTTTACTTTTTTAGGTGATTCGATCTGGGCAAAAATTAAGGAAAAAGTCTACTGACACAGGCGAGAAACGTGGAGGCTGGTTTAGTGGGTTTTGGGGTAAGAAGGAGTCTAAGAAAAAAGATGAAGAATCTTTGATTCCTGAAAGTAAGTTTCAAGTCAGATATTTTATTGTACACAGATAAGAAAAAAATATAAGTTCTATTTTAGCCAGTTAGTTGAATTTTACTATGTTTATTATTAGTAAACATGTGAGCAGATGCTTCAGGCTAGAATAGTTCTGGATTTATCTAGCTAAATTAAAACTTTGTTTTTTTGAGAAAAATTATTTGTGTGAAATTTTATAAGTTTAAATTCAGAAGCGTCAACATCTGGCATTTCTTATTGTTACTTTTTCCACGGGTATTAAAAGTTTCACTTAATTTTTAACATACTTAGGGAATTCTAAAATCCTTATGACAGACTGGTATTCCCTTAGTGGTGTCTTTTTTTTTTTTTTTTTTTTTTTTTTTTTTTTTTTTTTTTTTTTTTTTTTTTTTTGCCTTTTCTTGGCCTAAGCAAGCAAATACATGATGTTTGTTTTAACTAGGCAAAGTAGTATATTAGAGGATATTGCCTGGCTGCTTTTGCTTTTAGCATTTATGTCTATTTATTTTAGGGCACCTGTTAGTTTGGTTTGATTTTTTTTATTATACCTGTAAAACTGAAGCAATTGATTTCTTAAATTCTGTCATTTCTTTGTAGGTATTGATGACATTATGACTCCAGAGGAGAAAGATAAGCTTTTTACTGCTATTGGTTATAGTGAGAGCACCCATAACTTAACTTTACCCAAGCAGGTAATTATTTTTAGGTGGTTTAAGAGGTATTTTGTTTCATTTTACTGTATTATCTTGAATTGTGTTAAATGAGTTACTGATTTTTATGAAAATGTTATCATTTGTTTCTGTTTTACTATTTTATTTGTTAAATGTTTCCAGTCAGACCCTACCAGTTAAAACTGTCTTCACTTTTAGATTTGGTCACTTTAGTGAATGTATGAATAACCTGATTTATAGAAGTACTTATTATCGAGGTCGATTGAATCTTTAAAAATTTTATCTTTAAAATAATTATTGTATTATGATATGTGTGTAAAGGCTGAACAAAACCAAAATGTATTGCATTTATCACACGGGGAACAGTGGTGTCGTCACTGTCAGGGTTAAGATACAGACCTTGCTATAGATTTGGCACTGTTGTGAGATTCATTCCTTTCTTTCACTAGATGGATTTTGCTTGTTTTCATTGCTGTATAGGATTCGATTATTTCAAAATACAACAACTATTCTTTCTTTTGTTGATGGACATTTGGCTTATTTCTATTTTTTGCTTGTTATGCTGCTATTAACTTCTTGTAAATGCCCTTTAATGTGCATATGTGAGAATTTCCGCTCTGTATATTCTTAGGAGTGGAATTTCTGTGTCATAGGATGTAAGTATATTTTTACTTTAATGGATTTTGCTAATCAATAGTTTTCCAAAGTGAAAACATTTCCATCAGCAGTAGATGAGGATTCTTGTTTCTCCACATACTTGTCTATTCTTGGCATTGACAGTTTCTTCAAGCTAGCCATTCTAAATGGTATGTAGTAGTATTTCATTGTGGTTTTAATTTGCATTTCCTGAATGGCTAAAGAAGTTTTTTACTTTTTAAGTAATTATAAGCCTATTAGGTATCTTCTTTTGTGAAGTCACTTTTGAGTCTCTTATTTATTATTGTGTTGTCTTTTTCTCACTGGTCTGTAGGCATTCTTTATATGTTCTGGGTATGAGGCCTTTGCTAGTTAGGTGTGTTGTTAATATCTTTCCCCACAGTGTGGCTTGCCTTTTTGTTTTTGGTGTGTTGCAAATATCTTCTCCGACAATGTAAGGTAATGTGTATTTTCACTTTTAAATGGTGTCTTTTGATGAATAGATGTTCTTTATTTAATGTTACCTGATTTGTTAACCTTTTCATTTATGGGTCGTGCCTTTTTTGTGTCTTGTTTAAAAAGTCTTAACTCACTATAAGGTCATAACAGTATTTTCTTTCCAGAAGCTTTATAATATTTTACTTTATGTATTTAGATCTAAGGTCCATTTAGAATTGAATTCTTGTATGTGGTGGGAGGTCTTAAAAAAGTTAAGATAAATTTTTTCTCTAGATGGCTGTATACTTGGCTTCTCATTGACTAGTGAAAGGACCATGCTTTCCCCACTGCTTTCCAGTTACCCTTTATCATCAGTCAAGTGTCTGTGCTTGTGGAATCTTGGTTATATTGGTTATTTGTCTTTAAAGATACGCTGTCTTAGTTACTCTACTCTAACTTTGTAATCAGTCCTAAGATCTAGCTGTGTAAATCCTTCAACACTGTTCTTTAAGACTGTCTTATCTATTCTTAGCCCTTTACATTTTTATACAAATTGTAGAACCAGCTATTCAGTTTCTACAAAAAAACTGTGAGACTTTGGGATTTATTGAGTATATAAATTAATTTGGGAGATAATTGACATCTTTATAATCTTGAATTTTCTAATCTATAAATAGAGCATATGCTTCTGTGTATTGACATCTTTAATTCCTCTCAGTAATGTTTTGAACTTTGTTTAGAGTTCAACATCTCTTGTTGGATTTGTTATAAATGGTGGCTTTAAAATTTTGTTGAGGTAGAATTTATATGTGATAATAGGAATAGATCTTAAGATTCATACTGATAAATTTGAGTAGTTGAATACACCTATATAATGACCTGCCCAAAACAGAACATTTTCATCCCCCCCAAACAATTCCCTCATAATCTTTTCTAGTCATTTTTCCTCTCCTGCCTTACAAAAGCAGCCATGTTATGACTGTGTCAATATAGATTTCTTTTTATTGTTATCATGTTTTTTATCTCATGGTATATCTGTTATTTCAAGTTTTGGTTATTGATCAAGCTTCTTGGAACATTCTTATACGAGTCTTTTGTGGACATATATTTTTATTTCTCTTGGGTAAATACCTGGGAGTATAATTGCTGGGTTGTAGGGCAGATGTATATTTACCTTTTTAAAAACTGACAAACAGTTCTCGAAAATGATTGTGATATTTTCTATTCCCATATACTGATTCCAGTTATTCCACATCCCTGCTGGATGTCATATTGTCAGGGTTTTTAATTTTAGCAAGTCTAGTGGGTATGGTACACTATTCCACTATGTTTTAGAATGTATTTTCCTGATGACTAATGATAGTCTCGACTAATGAGTTTTCATATCTTGTTGGCCATCTGTATATATTCATTTATGCAGTATCTGATGTTAAAGTGTTTTCTCCCCATTTTAAACTTATGTTATTTGTCCTTTTACTTTTGTTTGTAGAAGTCTTTCTATATTCTTCATACAAGACAAAAATGTTTATGTGGTATTTTTCCTTCATCTGTGGCTTGCCTATTTATTTTATTAAAGGTGCTTATTTATGAAAAATAATTTAATTTAATCCATTTGTCATTTTTGTATTTATTTAAAAACTTTTTCCAGCTTTATTGAGATGGAATTGACATATAACTTAGGGTAAGTCAAAGGTGTACAGTGTAGTGATTTCATATACGTGTATATTGCAAAATGATTACCACAGTAAGGTTAGTTAATGCATCTGTCACCTCACATAGTTACAATTATTTTTTGGGGGGAGGATGGAAATATTCTTTCTCTTTCTCAGTTTATGGTGAGAACTTTAGATATCTACTCTCTTTGTATTAGTATTGTTACCTGTATTCACCAAGCTGTACTTTATGTCCACAGAACCTTTCATTATATGTAAAACATTGGTTTGTGAGCATAATTTGTTCCGGAAACATGCTTGTAATCCAAAGCACTTGCATATCAAAGTGAATTTCCCCATAAGAAATAATGGACACTCAGTTGATTGGTTCCATAACCCCCAAATATTCATATAAAAATGATTATAGTACTGTAATATAATAGAAATAATAAAGAAAATACAAAATATAAAGAAAAATAAACAAATTAACTTGTACTTACCTTTGAAAACCTTTGTGGCTGGTGTGAGGGAGACTAGAAAGAGGAGGGTTATTGTGTGGGATGACTTTCACTCTCACTAAGGAATCACTGCTCTCTGTTGGCTTGATGGAATCTTTTTCTTTTCGGGCAGCTTTAACAAGGAATCTGTTTGGGGCACCTGGGTGGCTCAGTCGGTTAAATGTGCGACTTGGGCTCAGGTCATGACCTCATGGTTTGGGACTTGGAGCCCCGCATTGGGCTCTGTGCTGATAGCTCAGGGTCTGGAACCTGCTTCAGATTCTGTGTCTCCCTCTTTCTCTGCCCCTCCCCTGTTCATGCTCTGTCTCTCTCTGTCATGCAAAGATAAGTAAAATGTTAAGTAAATAAGTAAACAAATAAATAAACAAACAAACAAGGAATGTATCCAATGAAAGTTGCTTTTGCCTCCTTTTGAGGATTTCATGGAAATTGCATTGACAATCACCCATAATCCCGAAGCGAGAGAGAGAAGAACCATGGGCTCAGTTGTGATCATATGACATTTGGTGTCACATACTACTTGTATTACAAGACATCACTCGTTTATCAAGTTAAAATTTATTAGAAATAGTTGCTCGTCTTGGGGAACCTGGATGCCTCAGTCAGTTAAGCGGCCAACTCTTGGTTTCAGCTCAGGTCATGATCTCATGGTTTTGTGGGTTTGAGCCCTGTGTTGGTCTCTGTGCTGGTGGTGCAGAGCCTGCTTGGGATTCTCTCTCTTCTCCCTCTCTCTCTGCCCCTCCCCCACTCATGCTGTCTGCATCTCTCTCAAATGAATAAATAAACTTAAAAAAATTATAAAAAAAGATGTTTGCTCATCTTACAGAATACTCATAGAACAAGTTAGTCTCAATTCAAGGTTTTACTGTATAACTGGAAGTTTGTACCTTTTGACCACCTTTACCTGATTATTGATTCAAACTCCTTACTCATAATTGGTCTGTTCAGATTTTCTCTTTCTTCATGATTCAGTCTTGGTAGATTGTACATTTCTAGAATTTGTCCATTTTTCTTAGGTTGTCTAATTTGTTGGTGTATAGTTGTTTGTAGTAATCTCTTATGATCTTTTGTATTTCTCTGGTATTGGTTTTAGTATATCTCCTCTTTTATTTATAATTTTATGTGTTGTCTCTCTATTTTTCTTGCTTAACCTCGCTAAAGTTTTGTCAATTTTGTTCTTTTCAAAGAACCAACTCTTGGTTTTGTTAATCTTTTCTGTT